AACTACGTGTATAACCCTGAATTCATTAAACATTTACAAATCTAGACTGAGAAGATACACAGTTCATCACTGAATTACTGGGCCTGTTTATCTAAAACGTTACTGTCAATTGAGACTTAAACCATCATTACTAGGTTGAACACATGAGCTGCTGAATATTTTATTAGTTTTAGCTTTCGCAAACAGCCAGTGACCAAAAAGAATTCATGTTACCCAAGTGACAAGAAGAAAAAGCCACTCTGCCCTCTTCCCTTTCTAGCTGCTCCCCCAGGATGGGAAGTAGATGAACAGATTCACTGCGCTTCTTAAAAAGATGTGGTCTGATTCTCCTGAAATCTGAACCAGACCTGGCCATCTCTCCAAAGGTGTGCCATCAAAAGCCCAACAGGCTGAAATAACTGAGACTGAAGACCAAATTGGGTTAACTCCTAGAAACTGTTTTCTAATTTAGATACTTTTCTAGTGAGCCAAGCTATTGAGAATAATGACTGGCTGTTCAACTTCTAGTACCAATTCTAAAAACTTACATACTTATGCTTACTGTATTATTTCAAAAAATCAGCAAATCCTTGTATTAGTAATAGGTACTGGGAACTTTATACTGCATACTGAAAAAGGCAAAATTCTATTTGCAAGAAGGGCCATCAAGTCCTGCCACCCTCATGGCTCAGAGTGCAGGGACCATATGACAGGCTTTTGGAGCCACACACAGCAATGGAGGATATTCAATACACAGTTGGGCTCACCACCACACACAGCAATGGAGGATATTCAATACACAGTTGGGCTCACCACCACACACAGCAATGGAGGATATCCAACACATAGTTGGGCTCACCACCACACACAGCACATGGAGGACATTCAATACACAATTGGGCTTGCCACCAAGGAAAAGCCCCACACATAGCCCAGGTACCCATGGAAGAGTAGGACAGAGGGAACAAGAATGTGGCCAACTGGAGAGGCAACAGAGCAGAACTGCAGGATCAAGTGCTTTGCTTTTTAAAGCATCAAGCCACGTCAAGAGAGTTGGCCTGGCCCCTTGGTGCAATGGCCTAGAGATGAGAAAACCTTGCCTTTGCTGAGAATATGTGAGAAAGAGGCTGTAGCCTCCTGAAGATGCTCAAGGCTGGACAAAGTCCTTCTTGTTCTACACAAACACCCCCACGTCCAGACAGGATGAATGTAGAGTCAAAATCAGCTGGTATATGTGGTTAAGCCCTCCCCAGGCAGGACTGATCCCCCTGGGTCCCTATCCAGAGCCGACAGGACATGAAGGTCGTGTTGGACAACAAAGACTGATGATGCTCACCATTTTCCCTCACAGCCAGTGTCACTTTCTCCCAAGAATAGCCCATCTGTAGCCCCTGCCCTTGAGTAACTCATTCAAAGAAGGACTCCTGCTAGAGAACAATGGTCCCAGGAGAAAACCCAGCTCATGCCAGGCCAGGATGTGCTGGACTCTTACGTCCACAGCCTTCCCTGATGCCCCATCATTGAGAGCTCTCTGCGGGACACTGTCACATAATGGCCTCTGGCGTCACTTGCTTCCTCCTTCTCCTGTTCATTCCTGGATTTCTCTAGCTAGGGATGACATCCCACAGTTATCATGGATGTTTTCAAACATTCTTCCCCAAGGCCCATCCCTACGGCCAGGAATCTGCTTGGATGACAGCCCACCAGGAAGGAAGCAGAAAGGATCCTTGGCTATTTCTCTCCCTCGACTTGACCGCCGCCCACCCTGGATGGGACAGCCCCTCCCATGGGTAGGAAAAATGATGCCAGGCCAGTATTCAACAGTTTGGGGTCCAAAAAAAAAGGTAGCAATTATCTGAGCTCTCCAGAAGAGGATGTCGCATGAAGTTCCTGTGGAGAAGAGCATAGGCAGAGGTTCCATGAGCCAATAAATGCAAACCAGGGCTCTAAGTGGCTCGCTCCTCAAAGAGCACATGACAGCAAACGAATACTTTATCTGGGGCAAAAGGCCCACCCAGCCTCCCAGAAACATGCCCCAAAAGTAAATCACCAACCACCTCCTAGCCATCAGCAACCAGTGTTCTACTGATGGGTGCATTTTACACCATAGCATGAAGGGAAAGGAAGCCTGGAGCCTGAAGAACTGGCACACACCCCCACCCCTGCCCCAACTCTCCCTTCCTGGCCACAGCAAACAGGTACCATCTCCTGATACTTCGTTCTGACGGCAAGACCCCATAGGGATGTTACAGCAGCTGGGTGCAGAGTTGGCCAAGAGGGAGGCCACCCAGAGAAAAGACACACAGGCCTACCCTGTCTGTATTGTGTTTTGACTGAAAGTCCCACACCAGAGCCACAGCTCAACCCTCCCTGGGCCTGGCCAAAGCTTTTCTCAAGAATCAAGCCAGCACACAAAAGAAAAACTACCCAGAAAGGCTGGGGTTAAGTGTTCAGCACTAGATAGGACCAGTGATCTGATTATTCCTGCAGTAAATTTGCTACATTTGTTAGTGGTTTGTTTCTTCTGAGGGTGAAAAGTAGAGATGCCTGCACTGCCTGAGGAGAAAGCTAAAGAAATTAGATATGGCACTTTTCAATAAATATTTTAAAGCTTCTTAAAAAAATGAATGGAAAAGGAAAGCAACTGCTGTAAGGCCTGTTTTGCTGTTAAAAATTATTCCAAGGGAAGAAAAATACCACAGCACAAAATCAGATAAAGAAAGAAAGAAAAAAAGACAATATAGCTTACCAAAACAAAAATACCTATCCTCGTAACCACTTGGCCAGCCCACATTTTGACCCATGAAGCAAAAACTGAGCTCTGAGAGGGAAGCAAACTTATCCTCCCACAGCATCCTGTGCCCAAACACCCAGAGAAAAGGACTGCCCAAACAGTAGGCCCCAGACGCTGTCCACAGCATGCTGAGGGGGGAACAGATGCCCGAGGCATAGGCAGTGCCCTCTTACATGACAGACTCCAAGACTGGCCAGGGCGAGACCCCGTCACTCCCCGACAACCTGCTCCAGCAGACTGCCCCGAGCCACCGTCGGATTCACAAAGGCACCACGGATCGCTTCCAACACTGCTGCTCATTTGCTGAAGAAATTAAATCTCAAAGTAAAATTCCTTGAGTGGGTCTAAGGGCCACAGTTTCACCAAGTTGAAGTGGGGTTACTTGTCATTCTGAACACCGACCCGTCAAATTATGGGAAATATCTGAAACTCCAAAATACCCAAGAGGAGGCTGCCCTCTTCAGTTCTCCCCCAAGTCAACCTCTCCCCATCACCCACCAACTTGCCTACCCTCAAGATTAAGAGATGTACTGTTTTAAAATAAAATTATCTAAAGGAACTAGAAGGAAATGCCTTCACAAACAAGAGTGATGAATGCCCAGACTCGGCCCAAACAGCCAACCTACAGTTGATGACAATTATTTACAAGGGGGTGTTATCAAACAAAAATAGTAGCACACTCCCTAGAAGATGCAAACTTTTTTTCTTTTTCTCTATTTCTTTTAAACTTCCTTGTCATAAAAGCCAACTTACATTAAAATATAGTTACTACAAGACAACACAACTAACAAAATATATAATAAAACTTATACAAGTAGAAAATTCTGAGGTATTTCTGGTTTGAGGTGATCTGTGGTCATGAAGTTTTAATTCTTTTACTTTTCAAAATTTAAACCTTGGAAGCCACATAGCAAAGCATGTGTATGTGTGGACATGTGTATTTTGTTTGAAAAAAAAATTTAGCATGTTTTATAAGTTAAAAAAATTCAAATGTTGAAACAGCAGCATTAGGAACATTCACTGACTAGAGCAAGGTTATGGCATAATAGAAAAACAGTTTTTTAGAATATGCACCACTTTAAGGGGTCTGGAGAAAGCCGTGTCCACGAGCCACAGAAAGGGGTTAGTAATGTCACCACAAGGGGCAGAGCCAGAGCTGCAGGACTCTCAAGGTTCCCAGCAAGGCAGGCCTTGGTGGGCCCTACCAGGAAATCCTCTTGTCCCATCTGTGCAGGGCACTCCCTGTGGGCATTTCCCTGAACTTCTCCAACAGGAGACAGTATTTCAACTTTCCCTCCATTAAAAACATTTACAGCATCGTGTCTTACGAAGAATGCCTTCACTAAACTGTGATGATTTCTACCCTAGCCTACTGTTAAAATTAGGGCAAAAAATACATTTCATCCTATGCCCAAGCCCAAGTCCGTGGAATGAAACGGGTCAGGCCAGAAGGTGGGTCAGGGCTGCCCCTGCTCTCAGACTTTCTCCAAACCCCATGCTCGCCGTTAATGCTCGGCCTCCACAAGGTCCTTCCCCTCGATTCCTGGTTACCTGAGAAGTAGCCTCCATAACAAAGGATGTTGCTCCGGATGTGCCCGAGTCCAGTGTAGCTCTGTTCCAAACCCTACCCCCAGCACCGTCCTCTCTTTCCAACTCCAGTCCAAACCATCCTCATCCTCCTATCAGTTTTTTCTCGGTCAGGACAACACCCGTTAGATCCGTGAAAGACGCATCTGCTGTTTCTTAAGCTCACTAAAATAAAAGAAAATGGGGGAGGGGGGATGAGGGCAGAGGGGAGAGGAAACTCCTCTTTTGAGGAAGGTATGTTCTTATGTAACAGTCTTCAAAGGTTCCTCTAGGTAGAGTTTGCAGCATTAGGTTTCCTAAGACAGGAGATGGGTTTCTTTGTGTCACAGATTCTGAGACGACAAACAAAGAGAAGTGGGAAAAATGAATCCCAAAGGACAGGAGGTGGCTGAGGCTCTTCAGCACGGCGCTGGTTCCGCAATCACAGCTCAGCACCTCAACGCCTGCTGACGTGTCCGCTGTTTGCGATACAGTAGAGCAATATGCTGGTAAAAACTGATCCAATCCAAAAAATAATATTAATAATAATAATTATAATAATAATAATAATAAAAAGTCAAGGTAAAATAGCAGCTGCATTTTATGTGTTTGTTGGTTTTATGGGATTTCCAAAACAAAACCCAACTTTTTTTTTCCTTTTTTCTTCAGATCCACTGAGTCTGGAGAGACACTCATGTCCTGGGCTTAGATGCTTGACTCTTTAGGGGGCAGGTCCACATTGGTGACAGAGGTCACCAGGGAGACAAGACAGTCCGAGGTAGTGCCGTTGACCGACCTCCGGATCAGGGACACCCGCTCCTCCACACAGCCCGCCGACAGGCGAGCCTCAGCATCATGGTCCCAGCACTCCTCGATGGTCACACAGAGCTGGGCCAGGCCCTGAGCAGTGTTGGGGAGAGGGGAAAGACACCTTTGTTAGGGACCCTCAGTGAGGACAAGCTTGGGGGACAGAAAACTTGATGATATTCCAAGGATCAGGCAGAGCCCACCAGCCCCAGCCACAGGGGCAGTTCCACTAGCAGGGCCCTGGCGAAAAACTTCAGAAATCAGGATGCCTTCCTTCCTAGCAGTCACCATCGTGAGCCTACTGACCTCCCTCCACAGCCCCGGGAAAGGTTCAGTGAACCTCAACATACATGGGGCAGGGGGGAACCCAGGCTCTTCCTAGGGCAGACACAGCTGCTTGCCTTAGAGCAGTAATAGTCAAACACAATCTCATGCAGAGCCCAAATCATACAAGGGCACAAAATGTAGTGGTTCCTCTCTTACTCCCCACAGCCCCTGGGACACCTCTGTATAGTCCAGGGGAACGTGGCAGACTTTCTCTTTGTCCCATTCCCCCTCGATCTCAGGTTCCTGCCACATGTGGAGGATTCCCTTCTCCACTCTCCTGCAGAGTCACCTGCACCCAGGCCCCTCACCGGGTGCTTCAGCCAGTGATCCTTAATGGTGGGCCTCATCTTCTTGTGCACAACCACCTCTTGCAGCTCCTCCAGAGAAGGGTGCTGACCAATCTCTTCCTCAAAAGGCAGCATGTACTCATCCACAGGTCCTAGGGGTGAGAGAGAGCCTGGCATGATCATCTCCAGGTCTCGCTGCTCCCTAACCCCCACCTAGGATGCCCAGGGCTGCCATCCCCCTCACCATCTGCAGCCTTGCAGCGAGACACGAGCTCCCAAAGCACCAGCCCCATGGCATACATATCAATGCGCAGGAAGGCATCTCTCTGGAAGTTGATGGCTCCCTCGAGCACCTCAGGGGCCATGTACCGTCTCGTGCCCACCTATGTGAGAGAGGAAGGCAGGTTTACAGTGACTGACCATGCACAAATACACACACAGGTGGGACATGGAAGCTATAGCCTGTGCACAACAGATGGGGGCAATTCAGAGCAGGATACCAATGATGGTGTGCCTTGACTGATCACGTTCATGACAGAGTTATGAGAGGTCACACCGTGAATTACACTTTGATGATAATTATAAAACATCACACACTCGAAATAACAGTAATCTAAAATGGAACTGTTACCAAATTACTATAGTAATACCACAAGGCGCTACACAGATGAAGTTTGTTTTACTGAGATTCAGACCAAAGACAAAGGGAGAAGGAGAACATTTAAAAATATTAACAGTGATTATTTTAGGATGATTTGCTAATTTTCAGTCACTTTTTGTAAGTTCTTGGTTTGGAATCTTACTACATTTCTATTTTATCTTGTTTAATAATTACTAATACAACTGAAAGAGAAAAAGAGGAAGACTGAGACTACAAGGACGAGAGGCCAAAACTCCAATGGGGGATCTCTACGTTTTTAAGCTGACTGACCTGGGAAAGCTACTCTGCCCTCCAAGCCTTGGTTTCCCCAGTGGTAAAACAACAGCATTGTTCTCTGAGTTCTCGGACAGCTCTGAACTCACCCAGTGACCCTCACCACCTCACCAGCTGAGTACCAGAAGGGCAGAGAGTCCACCCTGGGCTAGCCCCTCTCTTCTCCACCCTCCATGAGGCTTGTTACCTGCCCATGGGTGTCCCCTGGAGGTTTCCCTGGCTCAAACCGAACGGCCAGGCCAAAGTCAGCCAGCACAGCCGTGAGGTCGCTCTTCAGCAATACATTCTTGCTTTTGAAGTCCCTATGGAAACAAGTGGGCCAAGATGAAGCTGAGTATCATGGTCCAACCTAACCTGCTCCTGAACATTATGATCCAACTACCACCCTTGTTCCCAAGATACTAGAGTCTGCCCTACAACCTGCAGACCAGGCCATCCCCCTCTATCTAGGGTTCAGGCTCTGCACCAGACTGCAGAGGTGAAGCTGCAAAGGCAGGTAGCTTCAGCAGCCCACAACGGGTGTGGCAACCCCTTACTACACCTCAAATCAAAGGCTTCCACCAGGGTTGGCAAAGCAACGCCTACCCCAATGGCTGAGCAGACCCTGTCCCAGTCCCCACAGTATCAAAGCCGGCCCATACATTCTCAGAGGTGTTGAGGACAGGAACACCGGTATAGGATGTGAGGTTTTTCTGGGAAGAATTTACAATATTTGGAATGTGAATGAGAACAGGAATTTAGTGTTAGCTTGTCTAGGATCCCTCACAGGCCCCTGAGGGGCTCGAGCTCACCATGAAGGCAGGGAAGAACAGGGTGCTGATGTACACACTCAGCTCCAACTCTTGCTAAGAAAGCTATTCTTGGTCCTCAATTTCCCCAGTACCTGTCTCAGCCTTGTTGTGAGGATTCAACTGAGTGAGTAATAAGCGTTTATGCTTAGGGCCATACCTGGCACACACTTACTAGGTGCTGCTATTAAGTTGAACCATATGGAAGAGTCAACATTCAACCTTTTGGCCTACAAAATGGCAATTTCATATAGTTAATCTTCTGTGTCATTACTGTTATTACTATTAGGGGCCTTTCAGCTTTGAACCCTGGAATTTGAGGTTCATTCCCCTCCCACATAGTCACAGAACCAGACTAAACTAGCTATGAGACCTTGTCTAAGTTACTCAACTTCTCTGTACTAGTGTTCCTCCATCTGTAAAACAGGGCTGTGAAAAACAGTACCTATCTCACAGGGCAGTAATTGATGTTAAATGAATTGGTATTTCTCAAGTGTTTAGAGCAATGCCTCCCACTAAGCAAGCACAATAGTGGTAACTTTATGCCATGTCTTATAAAATGTGGTTCAAGGACCCCAGAAGGTCCCTGACACTGTTTCAAAGGGATCTGCAAGGTCAAAATTACTTTCATAATAATCCATTATTTGCCTTTTTGCTCATTCTTTCCCGAGTATAGAGGAGTTTTCCAGAGGCTAAATGACATGTAATATAATCACTCTGTCAGCTAACAGGATGTGTATGTGTGTTTTAATATAGCAAATATCAACAGACATAACCCACATATACAAAAGTTGTTTCAAGAGTAAAAGGAGTCCTAACCAAAAAGTTTGAGAACTGCTGAGCCATCTCTCCAACTAAATTAATGGAGTTGGCACTTCATGTGACCATTAGAGGGCATCAGAAAACCAGCTGGGGTGGCCATGCCATTCCCAGGACACAGGTGAAAAGCCAGGGTTTGTGCCCAGAGGCCTCTTACACACTGCAGAAGGACTAAGCATGTTCGGTGTTTGGGAAGTTGAGACATCCGCAGACTCTGCTCTCACCCATCAACCCTCTCTGCAGCTTCAGGCCAAGTGCAGGGAAGGCACCTGCTAACCCAGTTACCTGTGGGCAATAGACGGCTTGTGGCCCTCGCCACGGCACCAGGGCACATCCTCATGCAGGTATGAGAGGCCTCGTGACATCGTCTCTGCCACATGACACAGTTCGTTCCACGTGATGATGTTCCCCTTGAGGTAATCTGTGAGGGAGCCCTAAAAGAAGGTAGCACAGAACTTGGGCACAGGCTCTGGGTACAGCATAGGACCCAGCCCTCAGCCCCAAGGAGGGATGTCTCAGTGGGCTAGTGGCTCCTCTCCTGGGAGACTATAATCAATAGATGAAGCCAGGAAGGGGTATAGGGTCAGAGGGTGGTAACCATGGAGTCACTACTCTTATCATAAGAATTTATCCCAGAGTTAGAGGTTCTTATCGTAAGAGCACCTATATCCATACCTATGGCAGGGGTCACCTCATTGAGGATACCACCACGGGGCAGGGGTCCCCTTATTATGGAAGGCCACCAAGGACACCATTCCCCTCCTCCTGGAGTCCATTCTGAAGACTCTGGCTCACCTTGTCATGGAAGGCTGTGATAAGCCATAGCTCCACTTCAAGGTTGGAGCCTCGCTTCTCAGCAGCGATGAACTGTAGCAGGTTCTCATGCTTCATGCCAGGTGTGCTGAAGATCTCCCGTTCACTCTGCCATGACTGCTTGTCCTGAGGTGGAGCAGCAGCTCAGCCCTGCTGCAGCTACACTGCTCTACAGCAGAATGGCCACCCTCACCTCATTCCCCACCCCAGCCTCAGCATCTGTAAGGGGCCCTGGAGAAGACTGGGACTGAGCCAGGCCCTGGGGCATTAGGCAACAGTGATCCCTGAGATCACTTAAGGCCAGCACCTTAATTTACAAATAGGGCCAATGATGTCCAGAGATGGGGAGTGCGTGGCCCAGTATCACCCAACAAATAAGAGGTAGAGCTAGGCCCGGCTTTGCTAAGTGTCCTGGGCAATTGCTTGGGGTGGCCTGGTGTCCAGGGCCTCTGAGCAGAATTTGATACCTAATGTCGAACACAAAACCCTGGAAACCAGAGTTAATCAGGTTCTACAGAGCCCTACCCTAGCACAATGATAAAATTTCACTGCTGAATGAAATCCACAGCCAAGTGCAACATGAGTAGCCACTCCCAAAGAGGCTTACTTCTCTCTCACCACCTTGTGGGCTTGGATTGCCCTAGGGCAGGAGAGGCTCTAGCTCAAAGCCAGAGTGGGGTGTGGATGACCTGGAGCCCTCAAACACTCACCTGGAGTGGGAAGATCTTGACAGCCACAAAGTCGTTCATGAGCTGGGCTTTCCAGACACAGCCAAAGCGGCCCCGAGCCTTGATCTCCAGCAGCTGCAGTGGCTTCAGGCCCACCGGAGGGGAGGGGGGTGGAGGCCCGGGGTCCTGGGAGAGAACGCGGGCTTATTAATAAGGTCTGCCTTGGCCTCCCCACTTTTACCCTTACCCTGCCCCGAGGCAACACTGTCTCACCTCATGGATGTCCACATGGCCATATGGGGGTTTGCGATGCCGGTACATCCAGAAGGCCAGCAGGACGATGAGAGAGAGGCCCCCAATGGGCAGCAGCGAGTAGGCCAGCACCGTGAGCAGGGTGGGGGCTGTCGGGGGTGGCTCGTACGTGACTGGGGGACACACGGAGCCCTGTGTCACACAGCCTGCCCACTCCCATACCACCAGAGCCAGAAGAGAGGGCCCCACAGCCACTCCCCACCCAACACAGGAGCCAAGAGCTCTAGGCTAAGGAGAGACCCAGTCTGCCAGGTCATGGCCCCTCTTCCCGCAGGCTCCCTCACCTTCTGGGCTCCCAGCCTCCGGCAAGTGGGTGAAGCGCTCGTTGCAGAAGTTGCCTTCACAGCAGCAGAAGTACACCTGGGGGTTCTCCTCGGTGGCCACACACTCTTGCCTGGAGGTACAAAGTTTTCCACATACCCCTCGCCTAGGGGATACCCAGCCAAACCCTTCCCAACAGACGGAGCACCTCACAGGCAACATCCAGGGACGAAGTGAACCTACCTCCCCTGAAGTATGACCCAAAGCCGAAGAGGGACAGCCAGGAGTCAACACTCACTGAGACCCCTCCCCAAGGCTTAGGCAGGGCAAACAGAATTACAGAAGGGCTTGGGGCCCAGGCACCACCTCAAGAGCCCCTTTCTTGCTATTTCGCTCCCATTCAAACATCCTGAGACCCACAAGGCCCAGTGGGCAACGTGAGCACAGGTGGGCCCAAGAGCAGGTGGGGTGAGCTGCAGGGTACCTGTCGTAGCAGTTGAAGTCGTCCAGCCAGCAGCCCTTCTTGACGAGCTCGATGGTGCCAGAGCTGTTGCGCCAGGAGGCGTAGCAGTGTAGTCGCTTGTCCTGCTCACCCTCACAGCGCTCCAGGCCGCTCTGGTTGGTACGCTCCAGCTCCCAGTTGGCATTGTAGTAGATGCACTCCCGGGTCTCAGCCTCCCCGCGCCCGGAACCTGTACCCCCAAGAGAGAGAACCACTGAGCATGCTCCTGGCGCCATCACCCCAAACTCCTGCTCCCAGTCCTGGGTGTCAAGCCATCCTCAGGGAGGGAGGCTGGGTGGTGAGCGAGGGTCACCAATCCCTCTGCACTCGATGTGGGACCCAGGCCACCTATCCAACACCTCTTACCTTACTGTGTGCCAGCCAGCATCAGCCCCCATCTCACTTTTCCTACTGCAGCTGCCCCTAGGCCCAAGCAAGAGAGAAGAGGCAGGAAACCTAATGCCACAGAAGGATGGATGAACAGCCAGCCAGACTGATGGCCAGTTGTACAAAAAGGAGCACCAATAATGCCTGAGCCCCCTGCCTGAGGCAACGTCCCTAAGGCAGCAGAACTTAATGAGGGGCTCTCAAAATCCCAGTGAACATCAGAATCACTATACATGTGGTGGGGGGGTGGTGCAGCCAACAGTATTTATTAAAAATATGTATTTCCAGGCCTGGTCCAGACCTATTCAATGGGAAAAGGAGCAGAATCTGTGTTTTTAATCACTTCTGTCTGTCTTGGGTGGTTGTGATACAGACCTCAGGGACCACCTGGAAGAACTACAAAGGGGGGTGGCTTCCTGCTGCTCCTTCCTCTGCCCACCCCCTGCTCACCACAGCCCCCCAGGGTCAACAGCAGGTAGGCCTTCCACAACTCCATGCCCAGACTCCAGTGTCCCTTCCACACCCAACAACACACCTGGTGCCCGGCGAGGATGGAGAACAGGGTAAGGAATCAGGCCTGCACGTACAGGCTAAGGCTCCCAGAGTCTCCAAGGGGAACGTGTGCCTCGGGAGGGCTAGCTGGTGGCTCAGCTGCAATTATATATCCTCCTCCCGACTGGGCTCCTTACAACCCTGGGCACTCCCCATCTACTCCTGAACCCCTTTTACCCCCTGCAGTAGTGCCATCCAGGTGGACAAACACTTCAGCCTCCAACTGCCCACTCCTTTTCCTCCAAACATGGCCTCAAACCTTCGCCAAATCCATCTTTCTCACCATCCCCTAAAAAACAACCCCCAGTCCCAGCCCCAAATCTGCCCCCACTGTCCCCATGAACCCCACAGCCCTGTGATCAGAAAGAGTATGGAGATGCCAAAGGAGGTTTTGTCTGGGAGAGCCCTGCATCACCCCTTTACAGGACGCCCACAATGGAGGGAGGCGGTGGCGTTGCCAGAACCCCACAAGAAGAAATCAGCACCAAGCTTCCACCCATGATCTCCGTGCTTCTCGAGCCCACTGTGGGCCAGTGACCTGGCACCACCCCTGGCTGGTCTCCCCCTATAACTATTCCCATCCCAGGCAGGAGGGAGGGGTCAGAGTCAACCCCATAGAAGCACAGCTAGCCAGCCAGCCCACCAGCAGCCTGAAAGGCTGGCTAAAGCTGCAAGGAGAAGGAACCTTGTCCAGACCATGGGGGAGGGCAAAATGCCTAAATTCGAGCACAGCCCAAGGACTTCCTCAGCCTCCTCTCCACCCCCATCAGTGGCCTTCATGAGCAAAGAGCCTGATTTCCCAGAGTACACCTCAGGGAGAAGGACACTGACTGGCTGTCAGGCGGGAGATGTCCTCACCACAGGAGTGGCCATTCTTCGCTCAGACTCCACCCCTTCTGCACCTCCCTGCAGTATTGGAAGCTTCTTCCAGGGGGGTCTGACTGGAGCAAGCAGCAAATCTCAAGGCTCCAGATAGGACCCAGGTCAGGATGTCACCTGACCCTCATCTGACCAGATCCTCCTACAGGCAACCCTGCAAAACTGCAGCCTTGAACCCTCCAGATTTAAAACCCTACTCTGACATTTTGCAGCTGTGTGACTCTGGGCACATGACCTAACTACTCAGTGAAAGGAAATCATAACAGTATCTACCTTCTAGAGTAGTTGTTAAAGTGCATTAAATGAGTTGATACACTTTAAGAGTGGTTAGAACAATGCCTGGCACATTAGCTATTATACTAGAGCCACACCCCTCCCTGCTGTCTAGATAATCCCTCACAACACAAGCCCCCTGTAGGGCCCCAGCCCATCAGGTCACACCAGGCCTGCAAGAGATTTGTACTCAGAGCCCTGTGTGACATTCCATGCCCTTCCCACACCACACCCAGGCTCTGCTGCCAGCTGGAGACCCAGGGGCCTCTCCCCTCCCCCTCTCCTCCCTGGCTCTCACACACTCAGCTATTTATAGCTTCTGGCAATATTCCAACCACAAGGCCCTACCCAAATACCCAGGGAGCCAGGGCACCATGCACAGGAGGCTCCCCCTGACCCACAACCCACTCGCCCAAGCTGGCAGGAGAGGAAGCCAAGCTTCCAGGATGGGGGCGCTTGCTGCCTCTTAACTCTGAGGAGAATATGCACCCCAGACACCAGAACAAGGGGCTTGCTGTGTACCTGAGCCACAGCCAACTCAACCGCTGGCCTCCAAAGGAACCAGGTATACAACTGGAAGTGTACCAAGAGGCAGTCCCTATGCTCTAAGGGGCACACCCTGTCAGAGAGGAGCCGCCAGTGATCCTCAAACCTTACATCCAGGCAGTGCAAAGAAAATCCCATTCCCAGATATATACTACACGCACGCACGCACACACACACACACACACACACACACACACACACACACGCAATGTGCTGACTCCACTCTGAACCAACAATCCAGGTAGCAGGACCTACACAGATCAGTTTCAATGCTCAAGGACAAGCACTGGGAAGTTCTTTTCTCTTCTGAAGCACCTCAGTCCAGTGGGCCTTGGAAATACTCTACTATGTCCTGGGGAGACAAGGGGGCAATCCCACCAGGGTCCTGCCTGTGAGGGGCTCAAAGTGCAGGGAGAGGGAAGAGCGAGGAGAGATGGAGAAGAGGGGATAGTTTAGAGTTGGAGTGGCCATGCCTTCCTTCCCCTGGGGTTCCCTGAGCTCTGGGCTTGCAGTGCCCCCAGTCTAGCCAACATCTCCTAGAGGAACTATGGACCCCAGCAGTCAGCAGGGCCACGGCATTCAAGGTTCATGGAGGCCCCTTGGCAGTCGCTCCCTACAGGAAACAGGTGCCCAGTCCTACCTACATGGGCAATGCAGAGTGGTGAGAAAGGGTGCAACTCGCCACTGTATCTCCCTCGGGTCTGCTACTGCCAGCACACCGAAGCACACCCTCCCAGACCTCCATGCCCAAGAGGAAGCCAAGTAAGGACGACCCAGGTGAGTCAGTGTTCTCCCCCCAGTGTCCAGCCTCCAGGTCTGCCCAAAGAGCAAAGAAGCTCTCCCCACAGACAGCACCCCTCAAAAGCCAGCCCTGAGTTTGCTCAGTATCTGCTGCCCTACTAAGTCCCTCCAGAAGAGCCAAAGAGGGCCAAGAGACCTGAAGGTTAGCATCCAGTGGTATATCCAAGTTCATGATTCCACACCCCCCCCCCCAAGCTCCAGACAGCAGCATCTCCACCACACCTCCAGGACCAGATTAAGGACAGCCAGGGTGTGGGCACTGAGGCAACCTGAAGAGAGGGAGGGTGATAAAGGGGGAAGGCTGGAGCTAAGACAGAAAGACACAGACATTGACACACATACACTTGTGCACAAATACTGCAGAGTGGCACATACAATGGGGAGAAAAGAATCCATAATGTACATACGTTTTGTCTACGAATTTCTTTTTTTTTTTTTTTTGAGACAGTCTCGCTCTGTCACCCTGGCTAGAGTGCAGTGGCATCATTACAGCTCACCGCAACCTCAAACTCCTGGGCTCAAGTGATCCTCCTGCCTCGGCCTCCCGCCACGCCTGGCTAAGTTTTCTATTTTTAGTAGAGACGGGGTCTCACTCTTGTTCAAGCTAGTTTCAAACTCCTGAGCTCAAGCCATCCTCCCGCCTCGGCCTCCCAGAGTGTAGGATTATAGGTGTGAGCCACCAAGCCTGGGCTGAATTTCTTTTACACAAGAGAATAACTCAAGTATTCGTTTCTAGAAGCCAAAGAAAATCTCTTGTAGATTTTGCTTTTTCTTCCTCATCTATGTATCTGTAAGCCATCCAGACTGACACACATTTAACACTTACACAGTTCATACTACATCCCAGGCACCATACAAAGCACTTTACAAATAACTTATTTAATCCTCATGACAACCCTGTAGAGGTCTTCATTTTATAAAAGCTGAGGCACAAAGAAAGAGGTTAAGTAACTTACCCAAGTCATTTATTAAGTGTCAAAACCAGGTTTCAAACCCAAGCAGCCGGTCTCTAGAGTGCATGTTTTCTGTATATACTGCTGCCTCTCCCACAGCTCTGAACTGCACTTATTTTCAGTGCTGTGTAACCATTTTCAGTCCATTATATAACCTTACCTTAAGTATCCACTCTCCTGTTGGACTCTTTGAGGTTATTTGTGTTTGTTGATCTAAGCAATGGCATCATGAATCCTTTTTTACATATTTTCTTGTGCTCATGTGTGAGCATTTCTCCAGGGTATGCACCCACAGCCTGGATATGCCGGGTGAGAGGGTGTGAGCATCTTCAACTCGCTAAATACTGTCAAACTGTTCTCCAAAGTGGATGTACGAATTTATGTTTCCATTCCAACAGACTACAGCCCCCACTGAGCCACACCCTCACCCACCCTGACTTCTGCTCACCTGGCGAGTTTGAAATGGCATATGGTTTTGACCTGCATGTCCATGATTACTTGTGTAACTGACCATCTCTCTGTGATTATTAACTTCTCCTTCTGAGAACCGCCTGCCATATCCCTTCCCATCTTTCTATTGGGTTGCTTTTCCTTTGAGTTGCTGAAATTCTTATATATTCTTGGTAACAAAACTTTTCTTACTATACAGTAACCCTCTTCATTTGTAATGCTCTTTACCAAAAAGTCTATTTTATCTGGTGCTGACACAGCTATATGACATTTCTTGTGGTTCCTATTTATCTTTTTCAACTTTAAAAAAAAATTATCTTTCCATCTCATTTTCCACCCAATTCAAGCT